GAAAAAAACGCAATGAAGATCTAACCTGTAGCAGTATAGTGAATTGGGAAGGAACGGACATACTGGAAATTCGAGAATCGGATTAAGAAAGTGACTAGAAAGACGTACGATTAACTTCCAAGTCCCCTCAACAGTGCGAGAAGCAACGAACCTAGTCGATGTTGGAGACATCCTGGATCACGCAGTAGTAGGTGACAGTTCTGCCTTCCTGAACATCTGAAAATGAAAAAACTGAGTTTTAACCAAACGTAACAACCTGCTACTCATTACCTTGGCTGCATAGGGTTCGGTGGGAGGTTCAAAAAGAGATATTAGTCAATGATCTAAATCTTCTATATATACCGCGTACAATGAACCAGGCAGATCGTTAGTATTTTCACTGCAAAACGTAACAAAGGTCACAAACAAAACTAAACCTGAAATATACTTTTAGAATCACCAGGAAAGAAAACAAAAAAACCTTCGAACGGAACAGCCAACCAAGGGGAAGCTGTCTTCTACTTCTGAACTAACGCTTTTGGAATACTTTAATATCGAGAAATAATATATATAAGACAGATTAAATGAAGAAAAGCTTTAATTAAATTGAAAAAATTTCCAATTTTTGACGAATTTTGAAATTTTCAGGAAATTGGTCTCGCCGCGATCAGAATTTTTAATATTTCAGAATGAGTTGAGGCAAGGTGGCCTCGGAACAAAATCAGAAATTTTCCGAATGAAGAATGCGAGACCAGACTGATGAGTTCTATTCATGAGCGGAGAATGAAAGAAGGTGGAGAAGAGGGATTGATGAATGAATGAGTAACGACAGGTAGGATTGGGGATGTTGATATAGATATTAAGAAAACGATTTATTGTAGAGAGATAAGATGATATGATATGTTATATGATTATAAGTGAAATAATTAACAAAACAACCATTGAAAGTGAAATAACATATTAAGATTCTATGATAATACTAAGATAAGTGAGACATTGAATGTTTCAAAGTAGTTTTCTCTGTGATTCTTGTGATGGTGAGAACTCCGATTCATCTGATTCGGAACTGTCATCACAGAGGGCGGGTAGGGTATCGGGAAGGTGTAGGGCTGGAACAAATATGAGCTCTCCTTTGGCTTTGATCCGAGCAGTCTCTGGACTGTCATTTTCGAATGCTTTCAAGTTGGTTGGCATCGATATTCCAAGCTCATTGATAACATAAGCTGGCTCTTGAGACATAATTTCCGTTTCCATTACTTCTGTTTCACACGTACAAGGAACATTTGGTATTGGCTCCACCACAACTTCTGTCATTATGTGAGATGATGGTTCTTTCGGCCTGGAAAACGTTTGCATCGGAATATCTACCGTTTTAGATGCTGGCTGGTTAGTATCGAATCGTGATGGAACTGATGTGAGTTGAGAAAAGTCTTCCTGTTGAGTTTGGGCGGGTCGTTTCTTTTTTTTCTTTCGACTTTCCGTGATTGATGGCACAGGAGATGGTACTGGTGGAAGCTTCATTCTTTCACGATCAATCGGATAGTGTTTGGGCAGGAAAGGCTCCTTTCGAAGAGCACTCTTGGCCAATTTCTTGGTGAATGTTCTATCGAAAACTTTGCACTGTCTCCAAACAGAGTAGGGTGAATCCGGTCTTTCTGGAACGTCTTGTATCTCTTCGAGCAGGTCTACTATGGGATCAGGTCGCATAACTGGAGGTGGATCAATCAGAAGATATGGCTCGGAAAATCGCTTTTGTCCAGTCCTAAATCTTCTCAAGAGTTCAAGGAAAGTTCGTGGAGGTGGAAGATTTGGCTGCTGAATAACCTTCAGCTCTTCATCGTGATATTCTTTGATGAAGTCAATTTGGTCTTCAACTGAAATGAATGTGTCAGAAGTCGGATCAAACGGCATGTAGTGGAAAGGTGATGGACGTGGCTCTTTGCATTCAACGACGGGAGTAGCCGGAGGAGTTCTATCGGGATCTTCTTCTGCTTGCCTTTCCAACATTTCTTTTCTTTCTTGCGCCTTTTGCGCTTTCTCTTTCTTCTTCTCTTCAGCCTTTTCCTTTGCCTTCATCAGGATTGCCATTTTCCTTTCGTGAGCAGCTTTCTCTTCTTCAATCAAAATACTGGTGGGCACACTAGCATCTGGAATGGAGAATCCGTTCCTTTTGAAATAGAGATAGTTCTCGATAAAGCGTGATGTGAAGATGACCTGAGGATTTTTATGATGTGCAAACTTGGAAAGCAATTGTCCTCTCTCTGGATAACGTTGACCAGATACTAAAGCTGCTCTAGGGGGCAAGTAAGAATGTTCCAAATCTTTCCTTACTAATGGTGTTGAACTGTCTCCTGAACTTGCTGCATCATGGAAAGTAAACATAGAAGAAGTGGATTTCGCTGCATCCTCTGATTCTTCGTGAACTGCGCTCATTCGACCAGCTCGACGGAATTTTCTTCTATACTTTTCTCTGCAGTTATCTGCAGCCCGTTTGATAAGGAAGCGCATAGGATTGAATGGAATTGGACCTCGAGGAGTAATTGGAGGAGGTGGACCTCTGGAACTTCTAACTTCAACTGGTGCAACTTCAGCTTCCACCACTTCCGATTCCACAGTTGAAATTTGGCTATCTTCCTGCTCAACTTTATCAGGATCTGATCTATCAGAATCAGGTGGTTCTGAACCAGCAACATAATTAGTTAAGTTCTCAACAGATTGCTCGTCTTCAGCTCTAGAATCCTGTCTAGTAGGTGGTTCATCCGAAGATTCAGACGGTTCATCTTGTTCTGGTACAGTGCGCAAGTGGTTTTCGTCCAGATCTGGTGCTCCCTCAAGATGCATATCGAGGCGTCCCATAGCTAATGCCTCTGCAAAATGACTCTGTTGAATACATGTACTGGTTCCTTGTTCTGTTTCCACGTGCTCCACTTCCTCTTCCTCCTCTTCTTCAGTCTCCTGCATAGCAGCAACTGCTTCTCGAACTCGACGAAGAGAAATCCGTCTCGCAGGATCAGCTTGCATCATTTTTTTAGCCAAGTTGAGTATCTCATCATCAACACTATGAAACGAAAAGTATTGAATAAGAAAAAAAACAGACTAACCAGTGATCATTTGGATAAGGAAACCTTTCTGGTGACAGTGCTGCTAAAGCCACGCTGTTGCCAGAAGCATGAACAGCTTCCATAGGATTCCTTGTATAAATCATTTCGTATAAACAACATCCGAGCATCTAAATAAGGGAAGGACGATGATGTAAAAGAAAACAATAAAATACCCAAATATCGACTTTGTCGGTGATGAAAGAGCCCAAATCACAACTAAACAACTCTGGAGGTCTATAACATGCGGAAGGTATACGAAAAATCAAAGTGAGTAGACAGACCTGTATAGGATGGAGCACATCTCGTTACATTCATCGACCAATCGATTCCTCTCATTATTATTACCAATAATTATATTCTTTCTGTAATAATATATGTAAATGAAAGAGAGAGAAATGCTTTCAAACCTCATGACAGATCCCAAATCAATTATTACAAGTTCATCACGATCATTGAAAACAAAGTTTGCCGGTTTTAAATCACGGTGGATATAGCCCATGGTGTGAATCCATATCAGGCCATTCAGTATGTGTGAAAGGAAGAATACAATCTGGAAGAATATCCAAGTTAAACAGATATCATAAGAAACTGACTCTTTCTTTTGTTAATCTCAAATCATATTTCCGAAAATCAGCCAAGAGGTCAGCTAAGCTTCCACGTGGGAAATAGGGAAATACGAGATAGTAGTTGCCGTAGTCATCAAAATCAGCTGACATCAAATGAACAATTTCTTTCAAGTTCCGGAATTTCCTAAGAATGGAAATCTGAAAGAGGAGAAACATGACATCAGAAGGATGGCAATGACTAACCTCATATTTGGCTTTCTTCGCTAGACTTTCATCATTTTTTGTGGTAATGATTTTGACAGCCAATTCTTCATTCGTCTCCTTCTCACGGACACGATAAACCTTAAAAGGACATAGAGAGTAGGTAGATGAATGAAAAGAAGACTAACAGTTCCAAATCCACCTTGTTTAATAATTCCTTTATTAGTAAATGATAATTTAGCAACTTTAATATTAGTAAATGGCCCTGATACACACCCGCCCATAGTTCTGAAGACACGTTAACTATATGTATAGCTAAAGATATAATAATGAATAGTAAAGCAAATGAGATGATAAAGTTCAAACTTGATTGTAAACTTGGTACAACTAGAATCCAAACTACATTTCCAACAATATCATCAAGTTGAGTTTGATGAAACTGAAAAAGGAACGCCAAAAAAGGAATACAAAAAGGGGTGAAGAATTTGAAAGATAGATGGTCAAGCAACCTGTTGATCATCAACTTTGCGAACAAACTTTATCAAAAACAACTTTGATGGTCAAGTTTTATATTATAATTAGTGCATAGTAAACGAATAGTAAAGGATGATAAAGCAAGATCTGATTGATATTCTCCATATAAAGCAAGTATGGCACTTTGATTATGTGAACTTTGTAGGTCAAAACATAAAAAAAAAACAACAAAACAACAACAAGTTGGCAAAATAAATTAAGTTTGTTTTTGTAAGGAAAAGGTTTGTAGTCTGTGGTGCAGCAAGACTCATCATAGTTCATCTCTCTCATTAGTCTCTTTCAATGTGGATGGGATGATCGTGGAATCCTCCGTATCACTCACGTATCCTTCGTCTGTTGTATATCTTTGAGGATTAACAGAAAGCGGATAGAGAGTGAAAGCTTTCAGATTGCGAGGAGAAAAGTATTGTTTCCACATCTACAAAGTGTTTTTTTATTATAAATTGTTGTTTTTGTTATTCTCTATACCTCATTTGGATGATTGTCGAACATGAGCGGGATGTACTCATCCACTGGCAGTAAGTTATCCAATGGTTTTCCATCTAAAAGCTTCTTAGCGCCTGATTGTGATAAAAGATATCCTAATGTCCAATAGGAATAGCCGACAGTGCTTAAATGACGATGCTCCGGAACCCATAAGTCTTGCTGATCATTCGCTTGCTTCTTTCTTCCTACATATATTAAATCCCATTCTAACTTGGAAGCCTCAAGATCTTCCAGAACTTCTTCGATCTAAGACAATGTTAATTAAAAATTGTATTGTTCCCGAATGGCTTACATGTTCTATTCCATTTAAGGTGAATCGAAGATCGTCTTCGAACACAAGCACTTGCTTCAATCCTCTATCAACAACATCTTTCCATATTCTAAAATTAATTATGAAGATTAAAGAATAACGAGATGCATCCGTATGACCTATAGTGACTCAGGAAGCATCCTACTTCTCCAGACTTGATTGGTCTCTTATGGAATGGATCAATGTAGCCAGGTAGTATTTTGAAATTCAGGCTTTTGTCCAAATTTTTCCCATCAGAAGCTTCTAATAACGAATATTGAACCCCTGTAAACATTAGAATATTAATGAATGTTTGTGCGAAGCATTACCTAATATGGAAAACATTTTGTCCATTCGTTTTAAGCGATCATCCCGTCTTTTCAGGTTTATCAAATAGACTCTGAACATTGATTCGCTATAATGCTCAATATCGTAAGCTTATAAACATACTTATCGACACGCTTTGGAAGAGTGCCTTCAGAGGTCCAAGGTCTGACAGTTCGGGAAACAACGGGTGAGTTTTTGCTACTTGCAACCAGATCACACAGATGGTATTTCAGCTGAAACATAACAATTGAAAAGATGAGTCACTGGGTCACTCACTTTGCTTATCTGATCATCCAACTCGACATTATCATCAATGAAAACTCCGTAATAGTTGTCAGCAACCAGATTAATGGGAATGTTCATTCGAGCACTCGATGCTTCGAACACCTTAACAGGAAACAGATGTACTCCTCTGTCTTACTCATTTCACAAACCTCTAGGTAATCATTGCTACCATCATAATTGGGCAGGTTATTGAAATCGAAAGTGACGTAAGATGAATCAGTGCTTTCCAAGTTTACGAGCAGAGGGAGGGAGACCTTGTTCACCTTAAATGCATTGATTAGATTCCGATATAACTATAAGCAAGATTACCACAACTCTACTCTGCCCTTCGTAAGCAGTAGCTGTATCTTCATCGACCAGTTGATTATTCCATACTTCGCCTTCCATTGCTGGATGAAAAACAGGACAGAGAATCACCTCAGATTTATTGAATTTCAAGTGCTGAAGTGAAAATAGTCGCATAAAAATGGTAAAAGAATTTGGGAGGAACCTGGAACAATTTATCGTCTCTTGGAATTGTATTGCCTGACAGCAATAAGACGGAGGACAATTTCTTCATTCGAGCGGAGCGCAAACCAGCCTCAAGCCAATCTTCTTCATTTTCTTTGATATTCAATGAATTGAACAAGCCTTTCACAGAATTCTTCCACCTAATATACTACTTATGAACAGAAAAGATAACTTTGAATGAACGAACCAAGAAATTTGCTCTGCGGTTGAATCCTGAGTTCCTGACAAATAGAATTCAACATGTAATCTATGTTTAGGATACTCCAAGTTTTCCAGCCATCCCAACAGATAGGGAAGAGCGTGCGAATGATCTTTCAAGCCAAACTAAATTACAAATGAAGAGGTCGATATCGTAAGGATAAGAAAAAATCAATTGAAAGACAAAGGGCACTAAGGACTTACAACTATTTGCCTGATGGGATAGATATGACGAACGTCTCCTTCATCCGGAACAGCTCCTGGAAACAACGCTAACGTTGTCGTAACGAGACAACTCCAAAATAACAAAATCATTCTGAAAGTCGAAATGAGTGGAAAAATGGGAATGGAGAATTACATTTGCGATTTACAAAGAGTAGCCCAAAAATCTAAGAGATCCGAAAGACAACACAGCCGTACGCGCAACTGTTCCGATGGAAAATGACGTGACTCTTACGTGAACGTTCTATTACACCCGTGACATTCAATAAAGAGCGTACAAGCTGAATGAAAACAAAACCAAAGATTTTTCATGAGAAGAAGACTTCTACAGAACAGATAGGAAAAAGATAAAATATTTAATTTTACAGAAAAACATATTTGGGAGACATTTGCTTCGAAAGTATCAATACACACACTCGTACAACTAAAACAAAAAACTTAAGGTTATGATGTAGATCCAACTTCATGATACAGATTTGAAGACCGTGAACATCTAAAGTTGTGAGAAATAACTAACAGACGGACGATCCTGCCGGTCAGGCTTCTCGTAAGGTCAGCAGATGTACCACATGGCCAGATGCGGTTTCATCAACTATGAGAAAGAAAAAGAAGCAGATGGAAGAGAAAAAAAATAATTAAAACTAAAAGGTAAATGAGGTTCGTAAACACCACAAGAGTAGAGTATATAACACCAAGTTATATATATTATCATGCAAATACAATGTTTTTAGAATTCAAAATATACAGTCTCTGTTGAACAAAAAAAACCGTTTTGACTCAAATCATGCGCGTTTAAATAACTTCAGAGCTCTGGTGAGTATAACGAACGAACTTTAGTTAAGAAGAGATTCAAGTTTGCAAAACTGACTATACAGGAAGCATAACCGTTCACGTCTCAAAAACGGTATTAAAAGCTTGGATTTTGATAAATTAATATTGCATCCTTATGAGATATATTCATAGACATCACGTTGATTATCACTTCTTCGCATGTATTCCTTCTCAATCATCTGACCTATACATCGTTTCACAAGATCAACCTTCGGCTTGAACCTTACAGTGAGTTGTTGTAACACCTGAGAGGGGAGGAACTTAAGAGAAAAAAGAAAAAGAAAACATACTTCAGTCATTAATTGTTGGTGGACTAGTGTTTTTCTTGTTTTCATAATGCGAACGATACATGCCTTAAAAGGTAAAAGAAAGTTTAATGCGGACAATTGCTTGTGAACTCACGCAAATTATGCTCTTCCTGTCCTCATCAACCGTCTTTTGTACCTGTTCATTTTCCTGCTTGCTATCAACTCGCATTGCAAATTTGGAAATATCAATCTGAAGAAGGAGTAGTATCGGTTCTAGGAAGGGTCAGTACTTTTATTTTCTTGTTAGTGTAAGCCATATTGAGTGAGACAACTCGACCGTCTTCGTAATCCAGGTTCGTTCCTGGTTCACAGCCTTTGAGGATTTCAGTCTAAATAATAAGAGTTATCATCTCGGACACATGAACTATAAGGATACTTTCGTTAAGGAGTTCAGAGTGATTGAAAGAGTTTTACGATCCATATCTACACTCTTAAGCAAAGACCCGAAAGTATATTCCAATGAGTCGTTGAATAACATCAACACTGCCATTTGAGCCGTTGTACACTAAAAAACAAACACATTAAAAGAATCTTAGAATGCTTGGACACACCGTAAATATTTTTTTGACTCCAAAGGCAGAGCATAACAATTCACCACGTGAGACCGAGAGAACCTGCAAAGTAGGTTTGTGAGCCATGTGTACTGTATAATCAAGCTTACCCAAGTGAGCTTTCGTCCATTATGCTTGGCGTCATAATACTTCTTGAATTCTTCCATAGAATCTGTGAGCTTCTGCGGGAGCAGGAAAGTTGTAGGATTCATAGAAGGCCAAGCACCCGTACTATAACGAGCATTTAGAACCGTTTAACTCGCGAACGAAACCTCAAAATCAGTATGTTCAGATCAAGATGATCCTCCCCTTGTAGAGATTTTCGGAACTCTGTGCAAGTAGACTGAAACGCAAAAAGGACGTAAGGAAGATGGATCGATAAACAAACACTTACTTTACTAACTTGGACATCATTGATCATCTTCGACATTCTATTAGTGTATTCAAAACCACAAGATTGCTTCAGCTTATTGATCAAACTCATTTCAGCATCTTCACTTGCAGAGATTTCGTTGATCAGTCTGAATAGCAGATGAGTAACGCGTGAAGGTGAGAAAACTACCTTTTACTGAACATCTTAGTGTAGAATTTAGAGAAAACATCCTTATCTTCGATATATTTGAATACAACAAGCTGATAAATTAAAGAATGAAAAAGTTAAATGGTAGGAATACTTACAACATCCAGAAGCATTGCCTCGAGTTCCATTTCGTCAGGCATTTTATTACTTTTTCGGAGAAGCT